TGTGTGGAATGCTTTGGACTTGAAGCGAGAGGATAAAAAAACAGAGAACACTTCAGTGCGTGTATGCATGGATGCATTCGCTGGGATGAATGTAATCTCCCCTCTCTCCTGTGTGACAGGTTGTGGCAGGCCGGTAGATGATGAAGTGATGGAGATGTTAGGAGGCCATGGCCATTGTGATGCTGGGTGGCTGTTACTCTGGAACTGCCATCTGCTGAAAAGGTCAGTTGCTAGGGGATGATTCTCCTGGACCGTGTCTGCCTCCCAGCTGCCATCCACACACCCACACACGCTGGCCTGAGTATGCGCACAAACTCGCACACATATGTGCACATACGCACACTCTTTTCATTGTCTCCTAGAAATCTGAATTTTATGTGTATAAGTTTGCCCCATTGGATTGACCATTATTAATCCACTTGGTAGTTTTCTGTAACTTTAGGTGAGGTTTAGTTGATTATAATTCTTTGTGCAATATGTGTCCAATGAGGCTGTAAGTGTACATCTTATTACATAATAGCCCTGTGGTCACTTAATGGCACCAAAATAAATTCTTCTGATTATTACATGAGCAGTGTAAAGGTGTTCCTGTCATAACAATGTAACTAATTACTTGGAACTTGGCCCATAATTGAATGCTAGGATTACAATAAAATGTAGCACGGAAATCAAATCAGTATCATGTGCCAGATCCAAGCCACGACACATTGTCCATCAAAACCACTGTGAGCAGCCTATCATTCAGTGCGGTGACCCAAACCCAGTTCTAAATTCTTTATCATACACCCTTCAAATTAAAGCCAACTCCACCCAACGGGCAAACGTTTTTCTGCAATTTAGTAGGAATTTTAATATGTAGCTGCTGTGCCTTCATTATGCCATATCATCTTCTCTGCATGTTCCCTGGTGATTGAGCAGATTACTACATTATTGTAAAGAGAACAATTTTGGCTAGTGAAAACTGTTTCCTTGCTCAAGCTTAAATCATGAACACTTTTACAAAATTGTTCTATTAACCTTGGCCCTTTCCTCTTGTTATGCTCCTGAAGTCAGGGGTCCTATAAAGACCAGAAATGGTTCAGTGAAGCTGTTTTGCTGATAAAATGAAAAAGTAGATTTATCAAAGGAAATTGACCGTGTAACAGTAAAATAGCCCCAGGACCAAAGTTCTTTTTGACTTGTCAGTTTAGAAAGTAAAAAAGTATATGCTGCTGCATAATTATATGGCAATATATTAGCTGGCAGGATCTAAACCAAAAATGGGACAACTGTACAATTCTGTGCCATCTCTGTATCTTTTTTATCGTCCATGTCACACTTGCTGCTCTCCTTCCTTTTCTCCCTCCTCACACCCTCACCCTCTCACCTCCAGCCTGCGCTTCTCCGCTGGCCTTCCATAGACAGTGACTTTTGTGTAGTGAAGCTGTTGTTTTTGTTTGTGCCCTTCTTACCATGGCTGCCTGCTCGCCGCCTGGCAGCCCCGTGTGTCAAAGGTGGCTGCAGCAGAACAGACTGTGGGAACAGCCGGTTAGCCTCCCCTGGTCCCCTGCTCCCCAACCAGAGGGGCAGCCATCAATCCAGCACTCCCCCTGCCCCTGCACACACACTGAAGCACAAACACACAAATGCCCAACCAAACACACACTCACACAAAAAGCCTACAACGCTCACACCGTCTCCCAATAATCCTCGGAAGCAATTTCATCTCGACTCGGGTGGCGGCCCATTGTCGCCAGCCCCTTCAATCTTTCCTTATTAACTCTCGCTTTGTCCCGCATCCGAGCTTCTGGACTCATCTCTCCTACATTCCGATCGGTGCTGCTCCCAGCACTCCCAGGCAACCTCCATTCGCTAATCCCACTGCCTCCCCCACCAGTCACCCCACCCCAAGGAACTCTTACTGCTTTTTTTTTCCAACCTGCCGATCACCTACTTACAGAGTAAGGTAGGGGCATTAACTCCATGGGTTTTCTGAAGGCAGAGTGTGAAGGCGGGGTGGGTGAAGGAGGAGGCGGCCACAAAGTGACTCCAGCCCAGACAATTAGAACAATGAGCTGGGCCTGTAGGGGGCTAACTCGCTGCGTCACGCCTGGACGGTGGGGTATTTTGTCAGTTTAATGAATTGTCCGTCAGGCCAGGGCCACATCGCAGGCTGCGCAGGGAGAGGCCAGCAGGGACCCAGACACTAAGTCGGTATTTATTACACTGCCTTTGTCACTAATTGAGCTAATTATCACTGACTCCTCAGCACTCCCACAGGCAGCACCCCCTCCACTCACTCTCTCTACCAACTCTCCCACCTCACTCTCACGCTTGGGATTTGAACCCTGCCTTCCCTCGTCTTTTTCTCTTTCTCTTTCTTTTGTTTCTTTCTGTGTATCCATATTTTGCCCATCATTTCTGCTTTCTCTGTCCCTACTCCTGACTTTTCTCTCTATTTGTCACATTATACTGCAAGCTATATCATGTTTTAGAGTGTGTTCACCCATATTCTTCTGTGATAAGAGACAGAATATCCGTTTTGTAGAGATGTATTATTCTGTGATCAGTATAAATTTTCTACCTCTCATCTTTCTGCTTTCATAGGCCATCCACCTTTATCAGCCCTCCTAATTTACAGCATTTTAGCTCAATTTTCTCTAATTTGTTCTTTGTATTCTCTTAATCCCCCTAAGTCTAGAGAATTAAACTCCCAACTTTCTTCGAGATGCTGACCAATCACTGCCCAATTAATTACTTAACTTCTTGCTCTAACTTTTTGTCACAGGAAAAGCAGCCCCTTGTCATCTTGCATGTTCACTCTGTAAGATCTTGACTGCAATTCAGAAAATTTCTCATCCTTGTCCCTGTCTCCCTGTCTGCCCTTATAGCTACAACTTTGTTACTCTGTTATTGGGACCTTTGGATTTTTGAGTGTGTGTTGGTGGCCTTACTGTGTCTCCACTGTGGTCTGTCTGGATGACCCTGGCTGCTCCTGTGCTGTGGTGGGCTGAAGAGAAAGTGCAAGGCTTTCCAAACTCCCGTGGTTAGTCAGGTTGCCAGGGGTTGGGGGAGACTCTAAGTTTTCATTATTTTTCATATTATTTCTTTATTTCTTTCCGACATTAAACAAATGAAGCAAAACATTCAATACAGTAAAATCCTGTATAAAATAAGGTATGTGGCTGGATAAGCTGGGGCCGTCTCTGTGGTTGGGAGCACCGATGCAAGGATGTTTTGTGAGCTGAGGAAAGAGGCTGCTTTGGTGATGGTAATAGGATTAAGCAAAGGACACCCAGGGACAGGCTTATATGTTCACTTGGTTGGTTGTCAAAACTATCTCAAACACAGAAACCACAACAGGCATAATAGCATCTTTTGATACATTCAGGAGGGCAACTTAATTGAAAATATAGACTTTATTGTTCTATCATACAATACAAAACCAACTGGAACCTAAATCTTTTGATTAAAATCTAAAAACGTCTTCTCTTACATCTCTCTATAACAGTATAAAAAATCCCAAGAAATAAATATTTCGTATTTACAGTAATAAAAAAAGGTAAATATTCAGTGCATGACCAAACACAAGTGTTTTTACAGGAAACAAGCAAAGAAGTGATAATGTTCTGTTTCTAGTGAGAGTCGGTTTTGTGTCAGCTACTACACCAAAATAGAAAAAGGCATAAGATCAAAGCATCTCCTGACTTGACACTAATGATAGCATATTCTCCAGCCACTGACATGTGCATAAATCATTCAGCAAACTTACAAGAGATGTCATTATAAATATATTCATATACTTTAATATTTACAGTATTTTGGTTCTCTTAGCTGATATACAGTATAATTTCTTCTGCAGAGGCTCCTTCAAAATAAAATGTTTCATCTGAGACTTAGCTTCTTTTTACAGCCTTGCCTGACATTTACCTATTTTAAACCTGGACCACTTTAATGCTCCACTCATTTCTTAACAAAGAATTTAGTGTCTTTTTGTTACATCCATCTACCTCTAAGAATGGTATTCGTTTTCATTGTGAGAGCATGGTGGGATTCTGCAGGTCACATTTAATTCTTTTTTTTAATATTGACCCCTCATATTTGCCAAACTACATATAGTCATGCCACAATATTCAGTGTATTGATAATACATTCAAATTACTTTGCCTCAGTAAAATTTGTTCAGTCAGTTTCTATTTTCCTTGGCGAGCACTGGTCCCAGTCATGTAACATCAGGACCATCCTGCGGTAAGTCAGAGTGGCAAATCAGAGTTGAGGTGTATTCAACTCCAGAAAAATCTAAATAAAAAGGGCAAATGCGGTGAGGAAAATATAAGTGGCTGGGCTGCATCCAGGGCCTAAGTACACAAGTTGGGAACAGACAGCCCTTCCCCGCAGATAAACTTCACACAGTTTCATGTGAAAGAAGCCAAACTTCAGCAAAAGAAAACAAAGCAGAGATTTTTTTAAAATAACTTCCCTCTTGTCGGAGGTCTTCACCAGTTTATGAGAGAACATGCTTGTGGCTCTCTGGCCACAGAAACATCTGTGAAACATTGTGTCCACTTTCTGCCCTCAATGGGGGAGAAGAGGTTTCTAGTAGTACCTGGTTACAGCAACCAATTCTCCACATCATTTTGTCCCCTTACTTCTATTTCTGTTTCTCCACAGTGTAAACACTTGAGGGATGTGGATGATTTCCATTCTACATGGATGGTTGTAGTGTTTAAATACCCACATAATACTGTTAAGCATCAAGGCAAGGAGCAAGCACATATACTCCTTCTAAGACCTGTATTTATGCTTTTCTCCATCTCCCACTGTGAAAAACACTGATTGAATTTTTGTGCCACAGTGTTCCCTGTATCAGTTTACCCGCCTTGAAGCATCTCTAGCTTCTACCTAACATCTCAAACCACCTGCCTGCTAGTCGCTTTCTCAGCCAACTACCTGTTTTGCTAAGAAGTTCTTCTTTTCCTTTTTATATATGCCTAAATATTCACTTAGTTTTCCACCTGTGATCATAGACACTGGTGTAACGTTCGTGTACTGGTGCAGTTCAAGCAGCTGACATGGCAGCACCAGTGGAAGGTGCAGTGGCAACGTTCAGTCACAGTCTCAGTCCGGGTCTTAAACCCACGTCCACAGCATAGTAGCTCACATCCATCGAGGCCTGGAGAGGAGCTGTTGCATGTTCTCCCAGAGGTTCCCAAAGTGCCAGTTTTGCCATTATAGGAGCAGAAGTTTGGTGATTTCTCGAAATAGACCAAGTCCATGGCAGAGGGGGGTTTGTGAGCCGGGTTTTCAGGTTCCAGATGGCGGGGGTCAGCTCGGTGAGAGGCACGGTTGCTTCCCTTGTTGGCATAAACAACTCTGGATGCTCCGTCAAACCGGTCCTTAAGAAAGTCTCCTACTGTGCGGAAGCTGGGCAAGCGCATCCAACAAGTACGTACAGTGCAGGAGCCTGACATGCCATGGCACTTACACTCCTGACGCATCTCTGATGACACAGTCTGCATGGAGGAAGACAAAATGCTACTGATGAAATCTTACACGATGCCAAAATCACAAATGCATTTGTAGCATTTGGGGATTATGACAAAAAGGACAACTATGGCGTGTTTGAGTATTAAATCCTTACCATTCTGCCGGCTTCGTTATTGTGTAGGTTGGTAAGGTAGCGCAGATCTCTGCCCCTCTCGCTGGAGTCCACAAACTCCTGGCTGAACACCCGGCCAAAGTCTACATTGTCGCTGCAGCCCCCCCAGTGCCAGTCTGGCCCTCCAGGACCTCGGCGGCGGTAATCGCATGTGCACGACTCAATAGCCCCTTCTGAGCATGAGCGAGCCACAGCATGGGTCACCCCTGCGCTGGTAATGGCAAATACAAATGCTGTCTCTCGGCAACCTGAAGAAACAACATCAAGACTTCCCATCAGAACTTGATCCAGCCTTTTGGACTTGCATTTGCCAATTTCTTGCCCAAAATTGAAAAACTATTTAGAGACAAAGCCATTTAAATGTGTACAAGAGATTCCATTACATCCTGCTCAAAATTGTCCAAATATTGCCTGATGAGAAAGACAAGAGAAGCTCACCACGATTGACAATTTTGCCAAAAATTGCTGGGCTGTGGGTGGTCGGACAGTTCCAGCGGCGGTTGCGGAACTGCCACTTGCACTCCTTTATGGCAGTGTGCAGCCCAGCGGCAATGGCATGCAAGATGCCAGGATTCTGCCGAATCAGCCGGCGCTGGCGACGACTCAGTAGGGCCAGGCTTGGGTCCAGGACCAACTGCACGTTCTTGGAATTGGTGAGGAGGTTGGATGAGGAGGCCACATTGACAATACCCCTGGCACGACACAAGGACAAGGGAAGTCAGAGTGAATGAGCTGGCAGTTTATGCATGTAGCTCTTTCTGTGACCCTCTAAACTCTCAAACTGATGTGTCTTGGCATCTCATGAGTGTTGTGCCTTTAAAATTACCGCTCTTGTTATGTACTACAATAACAAACCGTGACGCATGCTGTTCCAAGACCGTGAGGAGACAGTAAGTCTCTGAGTCAAAATGCAGGTTTCTGGTTTGGCAAATAACGTGAAACTGTGGTACTTTCACCTCTGGGTGTGTTAAAAATCATTTGGCCCTGATTTGGCGAGAATTACCTTTCAATTTAATTATCTGAATATTTATATTCAATTATTGAAATATTCTGTTCAAATATTCGTCAAGATAAAAAATATATATACGGTGCACTGTATGATATTCACAGGTTTGCATCTGTATTGTCCTATGAAACATCACTTCTCTTTTTTTCTTCTTCAGTTGTCCGTCTGTGTGATCAACAGACAACAGACAAAAGCTGAAGAGAAGTGAGCTGTAGTTTTCTAAACATTTGCGTGGCCTTGTGGTTAGACAGACCATGAATCTCATCTCCAAATTTGTCCATTCTCTCAAAATGTCCCAAGTCACTAAACAGTAAGCCTTTATATAAAAGCATTGCATGATGTAAATGAAAACTCTTCTCTGTCTAAAATGTGAAAAATATTCTGGCCATAGGCTACTTCATGCCATGAGGAAAAAAATACTGATAACCATACTTTTTAATTCTAGTAATAACCCAGTTTACGTTCCCTCTGCCAAATAATACCAGGAAATATTCTTGTGTTATAGTTCTTAAGCAGCACCTGTGCTCCTTTAGTTTAATACAAATGTTGGATCACTGAACAGGGCTTAAATGCACTCTTTTTTTGTGATCAGCTTTCAGAACCTTTCTAGTGTTTCAGTACTTCACAGGCTCGAGGCTATAATTTCCCCACTTTATCTGCTGGCAATTTGTGTGAGATTTCTGTGTCAACATTTTTGGATTCATGTGTAGTGTATTGGCTGTGTCTCCTGTTAAGCATTATTATCCGTAAAAGCGGGCGAGTCTTGGCCTATTAGAGGGCTGACCCAGACAGTTGTGTGGCGAGTTCCTTGGGCCATTAATAATAATGTCGTCTTTTGGATGTTTTCTTCATTCCTAAACTCAGCCGTGTCTTTTTTTTTTTTCTAGTTGTTTTCCTGGATTTCAGCTGACATTTTAAATATTTGAAAACGCACGGACCCATGTGCGCAAATACTGTCCATGTGATGACACCGCAAAAAACGACAAAAAACTTTCGTGAAATCATTGCCTCAACAAACCCAACCCACAGTTTATAGATTTTTAAACAAGCAAGACAATAATCCCACTGACGCAAAACTACACAGATCCAATTTGAGTTTTGTTTTCTAAAACAAAATATTGTGCAATTGGCTCTTTTAGTTTCAGGTCGCTGTATAGACAGAGGAATGTACAGTATTAGATCAACACGACCATGGATAAAAGCTCGTGTGGGATTCCTTTCAGCTATGACATAAATCCATATTTAATTTATCCCACATTGCACTGAAAAATGTTGTCTGTTGTTCAAACCACATTGCGCAAATGACAGGGAAGCAGGGAGAGGGAGTCAATTAAATCTACCGCAAATAAAAGGTAAAACTGTAATTATTACAAATGTAATTCGTTTATTGTTAAATAGATAGTCTGCTGTAGCTAATTTCATTCAAAGGACATTAAATAAAAAAAAGTTAAATAGTTTATAGTTGAGCTCACGTGGAGTAATTTGGAAACGACAGCTAAAAAAAAAAAAATCCCACAAGCTTTAATATCATGCGGTTGCTCTTTTTTTTCTGAACAGAAGTTGTGAACGGTGCCAAAACTAACACATTATTTCGAGCACGCATGCATGGACTGCGGTAGCCCAATAAAACGCTGTGTTCATGCGGTAGTGGATGGCGTAAAACTGGAGTTTTCAATAGCAGGATGCTGATAAATGAAATGAATGCATCATCACAGAGAGCATCTGGTGAACTCACCACCACCGGCCGCTGTTGTTGACGGCCCCTGTGCCTGAGAGCGAAGACACCAGCAGGATGCAAGCGGCTTTCACCCCTAACAGCAGCGCCAGACTCCTCATCGTGTCTTCGGGTCAAACGTGAGGAGGAAAATGTCAAATTTCAAATTTCAACCTTGTTTTTGTCCAAACAAAGTTATAGTCTCAGTTCTAAATATGTTCAACAATTATTCATCTGCAGCAACACTCCAGTACAGATATGCAAATAGTATTTGAAAAAAATTACAAAAAAGCCTAAAATAGCCTAAAAAACAATAAGAAATAGACAGTCTGGCAGTACACGTCATCCTACATTGCGTTGGCTTGGTTAATATTTTTTCAAATTTTATTTTTTGGTGAATTATCTTAGGTTGAATTCTGATTAAAATGAGCACGCTGCAAGGTGGATATACTCACCAGGCCACAGTCCAGTGAGAGGGCTTGAAAGGTGAGAGAAGCAGGCAGCCCTTAATTGACTTAAATGGATCTTGAGTGGAGACAGGTTGCTAAATGATGTGAAGTGTCCAGGCAGGATGCTACTGCTGCTGCAGTCCTCTTCACTCTGTCTCTCTCAGTGATGCTCTGCACGGCGCATTGAACGCGTGGGACAGTCCCGAAGACTTGATCCCCTCGGTGACTGATAGGCAACACATTCTTCTCTTATTGAGCGCTACGAGGGGAATAAAAAAGGGATTTGCTGCTCTCATCTCCCTCTGTTTTTTTCGGAGCCTTTTCAATAGGATTGGAGGGAGGGATAGTTAATGCTCTTCATAGGGCGCACAATGAATAAGGAAACACAACTGGGCAGAAAGGAGAAAGGAAGAGAAAAAAAACAGGGCAATCCACAGTGTTGCGCATATTACTTGTGGAATCTCACGGTCATCACAGAATCGATTCCCTGTAAAAAATGTGTGCAGCTGAGAGAGTATTTTCCCACTGGCCGCGCGCTTGCTTCCACATCCAGTCTTGCAGAAAGCTGAAGTGACCCTGCAGCAGTCATGTGTTGGTACAGATGCTGTGGGTGCGCCCGGTTTGGTGCTCCGCCGCTGCTGCTCAAAGCTGGTGTCACGGTGCAATACAGTTACAGCGGAATATGAGCCATCTAAAACTGCCCTTTTTACCCGGTGGTTGGATTAGCCTACTCCCTAACCGCATCTCCTCCTCCTTTCTGCAGACGCGCTCTCAAAATGTGCAGTGACTAAGGATATTTTTGTGCATTTCCTTCTCTTTTTACACCAATCCTGTTACAAGCATACGCTTATTTTATATTATTATAACTATGTAATGAATCATAATTTGCTAAAACGTGCCATAATATGATAATCTCTCAATATATTTAGATACTAATTTAGATTAGGCGCAATAAACAAAACTGTTATCACCATTCTTTATAGCCGAGGACGCACGCGCACGCGCACGACTAAGCTTGGATGCAGAAAGAAGCAATAATAAGCTCTTACTTGTCCTATAACTCACACTACCTGCTGGGCTACTTAAGTATTTTTTTCGAACGCGGGAGACATTAAATACGGTCTCCAATCAGAAGTTTGATGTATGATGAACCAGGAAAAGAGGGGGACGAGTAAGAAAAACCATTCCAAACATCTGGCCTGCAGACCTCCCTCGACGCAAATGTAGCCCAGTGTAATCACAGCTTGAGCCACTTTGCGGCATCTCCATCTAACCCCAGACTAGGAGCAAGCTTAAATGTCCCCAAACTTCTCCATGTTGGTTCTTGGGTTAATGTTTCATTATGTGACATTTATCTGCTAATTTGCATGTTCCACATTAGTCACTGCAGCGGTTGTAGGTTGAATAATCTCTTTCCCTTCCTCTCCATCTCTCTCTCTCTCTCTCTCTCTCTCTCTCTCTCTCTCTCTCCCTCAGATGACAGTAAAAGGAAGTGGGCTTTTGTAAAAAGGCTTTAATGACAGCCATCCTACGTTTATACTCCAGCCTTATATGAAGGTGCTCAAACGGGTTTCCTGGAGCAGTCATGCGACACCGAGCAGATTAGAGCTTCAATCCGGATAAAGGGGGCCTTTTATATACAAATCAACTTCAAATCACTTTTTAAGCCACTTAGATATACACGCCAAGCCAGAATGCTAATGCACTTTTCATTGCTGCAGCTTAGGGAATGGAAGGAGATTAGATGAATTGGTGTCACTATGCGAACCGTGTTTGAGGGGGGGTTTTAACTTAATTTTATGAAAGTAGCCCACATGCACCTTCTCGCTTCCAGCACCAGCGTCTGTTATTGTTTGAGATCCGGCCGAGAAAACATTTTTAATTCGTGGGACAATTAGCAGCGTCACTAACTGTGTGATTGACCTGTTGATTCAGCGGCGTCTGGGCTTAATTTGAATAACCAAGATCAATTGGCTGATTGATTCGATGCGGAGCTGCCATATCACACTAACCAAGTCCGCTCAGAGGGCCTGGGTATCTGGTTTCAAAGGCCTAGTCTTTACTGAGCATGGAAAACGAACATGAATATATAATTGAGACACTAACCTTCAGTTTGCATAAATGTTTAAGTCATTTAAGCGCAGCTTTCAATAACGCATCTCATACACATTTTAATGATCCATACGTGTCAATTGCAATTAGATTTTTGTGGAGCATGTGATGCCATAATGTGATAAATAATCACACAAAAAACGGTCACTCCCGTGATTTATGCATATAATTTTATACCCTGAAATAAAGACTTTGGAGTGACAAAGTGAAGTTGTTTCAAACACAACAATGAAGAACAGCCGCTCTGGTGGAGGTGGGAGGAAGGGGGGGACCACATGACTAAAAACAGTATTGTTGGAGGGTCTGTTAGCGGAGCCGCCTGCCTGCTGCTGCCTCCCTGTCGTACAGTGGAACCAGCAGCTCTACCCTCCCCCCATCCATCATTTAACTCACCCCTTTATGAACAAAATCTTCCATGACTTTCCATATTTCATTTTACTGAGCGTTTCTTTGTTCTTAGTCTCCAAAACTGGACGTCTATACCACATAATCTACCGACCCGCCAACAAAAATCAGGAATAAATACATTCATATTTCTATATCCTGTTAGATATGTTTATAGTATTCAGTATTTTAGATTACCCACTGACCGTTGTGCGCACGTCTTGGAAAGTGGTGCCCGTGCGTAAAAGTGTGGAGACGTCATCTTACGCTTGGACGAATGGTCACATTCTCAAATAATAAAATGATCAACTGTTGATCTGACTTTCATATCAGCCAATATTTTGCAAACAGTCGCCTGTAGAGGCATCTCCTCCCCTCCCTCTCCTCTCTTCCCCCCCTCCCTCCCGTTTACTCTCGCCCCCGAGCTCCTCTGTTCTCCGTCTTCACTCTTCGGTCGTTTGGCGGTGCATCGCTAATACTCCACTCTTCCTCTTTTTCATATTCTTATTCAGTCCGGGACTTTATTACGAGTGTTTTAATGTCACGTCGCGAAAGACGCTTAACAAAATGGAGCTATCAAACAAACTCCGTTGGGACCAGTTCCTGATTTTGGCAGCAGCACTTATGTCACCTGCATTAACGTAAGTGCACTTGAGAGCGCCAGGAGAGTTGATGGTACATGCGGGGTCTGGCTACATTAAAATTCGGCAAGAGTCAGGGAAGCTACTGTAATGTGTGATTTAAACGGATTTTTAACATATTCAGGCAAAAAGTGAAACATCTGCCTCTGATTTCACAGACGGATTAAGTGTAATACTGCAACATTAAAATAGATGTTTACTAATTTTGTAGCCTTTGACATGTCTGAACTATGCCATACAGCATTCAGTGTAAGTCCCACAGTTGTTATGTTTCCTTATGATGTATTTGGCAATTTACTTTCTGCTTTTGGGACTGCTCAGCTGGATGATCTGTTTAGAATTATATTTTGTCCTGCTTTCAGCAACATTCAGTAGAAACACTAGTAAATACTTGTGCAATTGATTAACACGTTTTATTGCAAAGTGTATCCAGCAAATCCCTTGGAGATGAGATACAGTTTGCAGCACATCCTTCATAAATTGTTTTGGTTTGTATTTTTCAAATTTTCAAAACTTTCCAAAACACCTCCCCGCTGCCACATACTGCTGTGGATTTGACTAATGAACTCCTGACCAGCTCTGATGAACCCCCCCACCCCCACCCCACCCT